TAAATGATCCCCGATATCGGATCGGGACAGGATGTCAAAGGTGTATTTGCTTCCCAAAGGAGACAAGGTAAGGTTGTGGAAGAGAAATCCACTGACTGCTACTATATGTTCAGGGACCACATAAAACTTAAAAGTTCTGTTTGGAGGCTGTAAGTGTGGGTAAGCATCAAGTATGCTACCCTGATTTTATATTTTCCCTTTTATTCTACTGCTGGAGACAAAATACTGTGGTGCATGGAACCCTATCCTGACCACAGGCCACTGCATGTTCTAAACTAATTATATTAAATGTTTCCATACTAGAAAGCAATTACATTTTTTATAGCTATTGTTCTAGATAAGATAAAATAGTGTCTTACCCCTTCTTTTCGTTCACGTAGGTTTAAATATTTTAAATTGTCTTCTGCTATTTCCTCTACAGTCTGGGGCCTATACACTAATGTCTCCATGGCATCAGTGAGAAATGAAGAAACATCACATAGATGAGCTATATAAAGGTGGAAAAGAAAGTCATCATGGATAAAATATTTGTAGTAATAAATATCCAAGTCAGACAAATGTACTGTGATACAACATTGTCATAAGATATGATAATGTACGCAGTATTTGCTTAAAAAAATTGCAGAACCCAATCTTATGTGCTGCTTCAACTAAAATTGTGTGTTTGTGTATACAAGCAGTTTCTTAAATGTAATCCATCGCATTCGGTGTATGATTTAGACCGTAAGTATCAGAGTCCATTCTGAGAATTAAACAGATACGTAAAGCACTTATTCATACACATTCAAAACCTTTTTTGGGGTAGATCTTTTTTGGGTAAATGGAGAAAATCAGATGTTAAAATTGCTTTTAGGGTTTTTTTGGGGGGTGCGTTTTGTTTTGTTTCATTTTTAAAGAAACTAACTAATGCAGCCTTGCTTTAAATATTGAAAAGATTCACAAACAAAAGCCTCATTAGGCTGTAACATTGCATTTTCCTACCAAGGTAGAACTTTTTGTTACTGAGAAAGGAGCTGTACAATTCCAGAGAATAATACATCTTCCAGGAAACAATTTTTCAGGCTATTGAAGTAATTCACTTTCTGCACAACCTGTGTTCTGTGTTTCCTGTGCTGATTGTTACATTTAAAGCACAAAGCACTGGTATTCCTCATCATCTACACCTTATTCCATTTTGTCTACCTGTTCCAGATATAGATAGACCACCCAAAAATAAGGAAATATTATGCATTCTTTAACACTCTGCATTTTAAAAATATAAGTGATAAGCAACTCTATGGAATAAGCCTAGATTATTTAAGACTCTTCAGGAAGTATTTCAATTTGTGAAAGAAAAATCTAATAATGTTTTTAATTACAGCATTTCATGATGCCTCCTTCAATTATCCTCAAATGCCTAAGAACTTTTTTTTCTCTCAAACATCACATAAATTTTCCTCTCTGAAAAGACAAAGAAATTTTCCTTCAGCCAAAAAAAACCAAGCAAACTAATGTTCATATGTATTCTTTTACATCCATAACAGATGTGTCCAACACAAGTAAACAGGAAAGATGCACATGGACATCAAGGGGTCTTAGGTTAGGCCTGTAGTGAAAAATTAGTAACAGATTACTTTCTCTGCACTGTGATTTCTGCAGCTGACTGTGCCCAGGACTAAACTATTTCTTAACAAGAGTATTTATATTAAAACAAATGTCCACAAGTACAATAGAAACAGAAAACCATACTATTCATTAAAGTTATTTACCTTGAATAGATTTTCTCAAAGAAATGACAAGAACATCATACAACTTCTGGATTAAATCATCTATTATAGTTTTCACAGGGTTGCAATTAACAGTTAAACAATCTATCCTGATGGTGCTTCAAGAGAAAAGATTAAAAAACAGCAAACATTAAGTAGTATACTTACATGTCAATATCTCTAAGTTCTATGCACATCTACAGTTTACCCTGATTCTGTAGCTTAATAAGAAAAAATTGCCCTCATAATTCTACAAATAGTTATAGCTTACTGGGAAAATTACTCATAGTATTGTAATATTAATAACCATTATGCATATATATGCAGTTTTATGGGGACTAAAGTCCAATGCTCTGCTCCAAATAGAAAATTGTTTGATTTATATATCCAGTGTCACTAAACTCAAAAGGACTATTTCTATACTTAAACTTTAATGATTTGTACAGTTATGCCAGGCTTCAATGGTCCTAAGAACATAAGAAAAGCCATAGTGAGTCATTTCAGGGCCCCATATCTAATATCTCACAGTGACCATAAGTAGATGCCTAAAGAACACTAAAAAAAAGGGCTACCTGATTTGTTATCTTCCTGAGTATCCTCCCTCAACACCAGTTATTTTCAACTCATGGCACTTCATAGCCACACGTAGTTACTGGCTGTAAGACACATCAGCCAATTTCTCTTCTTTTCACCCGGTCTGTCCTTGAACTCATGAAAATCTTTACTACTCAAAATATCACTTAGCAAACAAGTTCTACCAGTCCATTCTCCTGCATGAAACATCACCTCTTTTTCCTTGTTCTGAACATGATTCTCACCAGCTTCATTTGAGAATTCTAACCATGCAATACACTAAATTCCATGTGAATATATGTAAGAATAAAAGCCTACACTAGCATATAATAAGATATAAGTTATAAAAGGTAATCATGTGTTTCAATACAGGAATTATTTAATGTATGAACATTTACTAAGTCTGCTCCTAACTGCCACACATACTCTACATAGGACTTAGCGAAAAGAATTGTTAAAATATCACCATGTTTTGTTCTATTTTAGAATCTGCCCTGAATTTTGAAGGAGTTTCCCATCATATCAAAGGAAGATATTAAAAATTTTCAGAGAAGGCTGAGCAAATAAAAGAGTGTAAGTGTCTAAAAATAAATCTGAAAAATAAAAAAATAACATTTAAAAAGTACATCAATATTTTAAAAACACTTTAAATTCTAGCTATAGCTCCATGTAAAAACAGTATTTCTATTTTAATATTAAAGCATCTGATAGAATACATTATACAAACAAAATAATTGAGTTACACTATACCTTGGAAGACGTTCTGCTTCTTTCCCTCTCACTTTTAATGCTTTAAAGTTTTTTTCCCAGTCCTGTTTGCTAGAAAGATGTGTCTTCACCAGAGTTTCCATATCTACTTGGCCAATTACGATCCAATCCTTTTCAACAATTTTTTTGATTTCATGGAAAAGAAATATTTTCCAGACTAAAAAACTTTGTCTCTCAATAATATTAAAATAATTTAATAATGTCTTCAAGCTACATTCTCTTTAACTTTTGTGCTCCTTCAATTACCTACAGATTCTCTTAGTGCAAAAATCAGGAGGTACAGAATGGTTTGACATATTTACACATTTAAGGATAATCAAAACAGATTCTGAACAAGAGTTAACAGACAGCTATAATACCAGGTTTCAATAGGAACTGTACGTACACTTCAAGCTAGGTATGTGCTTAAGTGGTTGGCTTAGCATGGCTGGACTTACTAAGCTTTTGCTTATTTGCCTTGCAGAAAAGGACAATAATGCACAAATGTCATTGCTTAGTTACTTCTACTATGTCTGAAACCTAAAATTATACAAATCTGAAAAAAAACCCCAAACTGCACGAGTCAGTCAAATATTTACAATACCTTGAATTGATTAGAAACATCTGTCAGCCTTCTGAACAAATCCTCTGCTTTACTGAAAGCAGTCAGAAATCCACTTGCATTTCTTTCAGTCATAACAGTGAATATAGACTCTTCCTCTGCTTCACTTACTCCCCTAAACTGATTTGGAATGGAGATAAATCTCTTCATTTCTCTGTAATATCTAGCTCGTACTTCTTCAAAAGGAGGTCGGAATTGCAACCGGCCTTGCCTAAAAAGTGAAACAAATCATATAAAAATTAACATTCGAATGTAATTAGAATCAGAATACTTCCTTAATAGGAAAAAAGAAAATATCTTACTTGAACGTTAGATCAATATTTATTTCTGGTAAATTCTCATTGAGTGCTTCTAAGCCCATTTGATACTGATGCTCCAGAGCTTTGTAAAGTTGATGATTCCAGTGCTGTCTCCATGCTTTCATATCACATGATTTGAAACCCTAAAATTTAACAATGTTTATTTTTATTTTCTTCCTCAAACCATAATTCTAAGCTGAAACTGAGCACAGTACAATGCCTGAAGACCAGGCTGCTAGTAAAATTCAAAGTATCACACCAGTGGAACAGGCTCCCCAGGGAAGTGGCCATGGCACCAAGTCTGTCAGAGATCAAGAATGACACTCTTCGTCATATGGTTTAGTTTTAGCCAGTCCTCCAAGGAGCAGGGAGTTGGACTCGATAATCCTTATGGTTCCCTTTCAACTTGAGGCATTCTATGGTTCTATGAGTAGCTTGAATATTAAGAAGATCTAGAGCAATTACATTTATTTCAAATGAATATAGGAATAAAAAAAAAAAATCCAAATCAAACCAGTCTCTATGGCAATTCAGCCTAACAACTCCCTTGAGGTTCATCACTCATTGGTTTACTACAAGATTCTTCAAGGTTACTCTGAAATGCATGTGACTGCTAGAAATAAGATACAGAGCTGGCTGAATGAGAGATCAAAACCTGTATCACACCTTTTATTTTCTTATGATATGTAAGCTACCTTTTAAAAGTCTTTCAGAAAATTCTTGTGTGTTTTGACAGATCAACATTAACTAATAAGTAGATATATGATTTTATCTTAAAGAATTTAGATTTTCATTGGAATCTGCTATACTGCATTGTAAGAAAGTATAATGTCGTATCATACACTTAAGTCTGTAAATGGTCACTTGTAAGCCATCCAGGGATTTTCAAAAGGGCCCCACAAGTTAAAAAATAAATTAGAAATTCCTTCCAGCTTAACAAGTTCTCTTCTTATTTAATTGGATAGAGAGTTTACGCCAGGGCTCTGGAGGCAGTCCAAGGTTGCTGCAGGAAGCTACACAGTTAAGGTCTGCCCTACAATTAAAGGCTGTCCATCAGAAAAGATTCCAGAGAGTAAGAAAGCCTGAAATTGTCTCAATTAAGCTTTAAGACAATTATAAATAGGGTTTTTAATGAAATATGTAAAATATTGATGACAACAGCAGTAAGACTATACCATCTTGTAATTCTGGATGGTGACAATAGGATTAAGTCAGTTAAGTTTTATCAGTTCTAGTCAAGGATAAAAAAAAAAGTGACTGAATACAGTTCGGTTAATATTCCACATAAAATATTCTGTAATACCAAAACAATCTTCATACAGATCTTAAAGCAAACATAGACTATAAATTTTCATAAAATATACTGACTTCAAGATAAAAATCTGCAAACTAAAGTTCAAAAGAAATCACAAGCCAAAAGCTGAATCAATATACTTATTTATTATTCATATTATCTTGAGAAGATGGAAAAAAAAATAAGAAATCCACAGAATCAAAGAATCACAGAATGGCTGAGGTTGGAAGGGATCTCTGAAGGTCATCTAGTCCAACCACCCTGCTCAAGCAGAGACTTCTAGAGCACATGAATCAGGATTTTGTCCAGGCAGGTTTTGAATATCTCCAGGGAGGAAGATTCCACAACCTCTCTGGGCAACCTGTTCCAGTGCTTAGTCACCCTCACACTAAAGAAGTTCTTCCTTATGTTCAGGTGGAGCTTCCTATGCTGCAGTTTATGCCCATTGCCTCTTGTCCTATTGTTGGGTGCCAATGAGAAGAGTCTGGCCCTGTCCTCTAGACACCCTCCCTTTAGATATTTATAAATATTAATCAGATCCCCTCTGAGTCATCTTTAAAAATACTTCATTTATTTGTCTGGCAAATACTAACTAAAATAATCTGGGTTTGCATTAGAAAGGCTAAGAACACCACAGATACCTAAGAACATAGCTCCGTTATTGCTGGAGGCTATCGAAAAAATTAAACTGACTTGAATGATATCTCAAAATAGCTTAGGTGATAGTAATATCATCTATTTACTTTGGTAAGTTCGTATTCTTGATCAAAATCTTAATCATCTTCCTTGATGATCTTAAGGCCTTTTCCAACCTAAATGATTCTATGATTCTATTCTAAAAGTTCACAGTTGATAAGTGAACAAATAAAAATGTAGCTTTTTCTTTACTTCAGGTAGAAATGCATTTTAATTCTAAATTGTATATATTTGTTCTGTTGTGCCTGGGGATCACTTATATCTGTACCAATTTGTTTATTTTACCTTGAGTTAATGGCTCAGACACAACTGGTCTACATAACCTAAGGTTTTCCCATTTCATCATCTAAACCCTGTCATCTGACCAAGAGTTGTTCTTCTCCCATTCCTAGTATGATGTAAAAAAGATTATCCTCATCCTCCTCATCTGAGATTTTACCTCACATCTGGCATCAACTAGTACACAGTAAGTTTTTCTGAGCTAGCTAGTAACACCTTAATCAAAATTAATTCAATCATGCAATGTTTGAGTCTTAAATCTTTATTACTGTTGAAAAGTCAAATGTTCACAGTTTGCAATGTGACAATGAAACCCTGCCTGTGACTCGAGGCTGGCAAAACCAGTTCTGAGCTCCTGAAGTCCATCTTTCCAACGCTGCTGCTGCCGAAGTAGATCAATATTCATGAGAGATATAACCTGTTAAAAGAATTTTAAAGGATAATAAACATTTACTACCACATAAATGAAAGAAAGGTTAAAGTAAGCTTTAAGATATGAGATTTGAATTTCCCTTGGAAAATCTACCTTTTCAATGAAGTTTGTGTGCCACTTCCTTAGTTTTCTATTTTCAGTGGAAAGCCGTTCAGCAGCAGCTTGGAGTTTTTGGATATAAACTTCCAATTCTCTAGGATTATCCCATGTTATTTGAGCTTTTCCTCCAGGACCAGACTTTGAATGCTTGAAAAACATAAAAACTTTGTAAGATTTAATGACAAATATAGTCTACCAGCTAGCATACAGGAAATGATAATATAAGAAAGATGGTTTTACTCCTAGTAAAAAAAAGAGGACCTCCCTCCCACTACTGCACTAGACATAATAATCTGGCAAATCACAGACACGTGGGCACATCACTATAGCTACATCAACGCACTGAGGAAGGTTTAATGCCAGACTCTTAACAGAGCTTGAAATAAATTCACTGATGTTGAGGCTCCTGCCCCACAAACATAAGCAGCCAACTGAAGCTGAGAGGACACCTTAAAACTCCTCCTTTCCTCTTTGTTCTGCACAGACTGAAAACCAAAATGTGACACTAATAATTGCTATTCAACTTTACCTGATTATCTTTTTTTTTTTTTTTTTTTTAATTACACTGTAAAATTCTACTGATTTATAAGCAGTTTTGGGGAGTTCCATTTCTCTGGGTTTTTCATCAAGACTCTGGGGGTTTTATGCATCTTGCTAAGTTTACAGTAGAAAATCAGAAGACAAAAGCATCTGAAGTTCCACAATTGGACCTATTCTTAAAAGACTCAGGGCAGAAATCATGTCAAATAGGAAAATATGCTGTGCCTTTGAACACTTCTGCACCATCACTGTCTTAGGGTCTGTACACTAAAGGAATCTGTGGCACATCTGCATCCAGCCCAAGAAAAATTTAAGGGAGAGTTTGGGAACTTTTTCCAGGACACTTTTGAACCTACGGTTTGGTCTGGACCCTTCATGGTTTTGTGTGAACTAATCCCAACCCCAATATCCCTTCTACTTTCAGCCTCATTCTTATATCTCACAAAATGGTTCTCAGGAGCGAGTTTCCAGTCATTTCTGTAATGCTTGCTCTGGAGCCATTATTCTCTTGTCCAATACAGAGCTTATGGGCACATTATAATTCTCCAGCGATTCTCATTATAAGAGTTTTGGAAGGGGTAAAGTGCTTCAAATCATCAAAACTAGTAAACTGAAATTCATGATATATAACATGTTTCTTCAGACATAAAATAGAGATATGGTGTTAAAAAACTGTAGACTGCACTGTAATTTTTAAGTTTGTATTGTCTCTTCAAAGCAGAAAAATGAAAATGAAAATAAATAAAATCATCCAAATTGCTCCAAATTTCTTAAAAGAATCTAAAACTTCTTTAAGTATAGTGAACTTCCTAGCAATTATAAAAAAGAATTCTCAGAGCAACTATATTATGTCTGAACACCAACCCAGTGTAACAAAGTGCATGCATAAGCCAATAACCAGGTAGATTCACAGATTCTTTGTTCTTATCTACAACAGAAACTAGCTACGTTCAATCTGCTCAAAACATGAATTAGAAATACTCAGAGAATTACAAAATCCACATATTTATTAGCAGTCAAAACAGTGAAATCATTCCTTAATACTAATTTATCTCCAGAATAAAGTATATGCCATTTTTACTAAAATAGACCAAAATAGTATTATTTAGCACTGTTAAAATAGGAGTTACATTCCCAGCTATTATGGAATTGACCACATTGTGGTTCATGTGTAAATTCAAACACTAAAAATAATTCATGAGAGAGCATATTACACTAATATCAAAAGTAAAAAGGATTAAGCACTTGTTTAACTGGCAATATCAAAATAAAAGGCTCACTGATTTCAATAAATGCCAATTAAACAGATAGTGTCACTTGTATGGGAAGGCTGCAGTTAAAAGTTCAGCAATAAACGCAGAAAAGGCAGCACAGAATATGCAGATACCATTGAAATTGAAAATGCAAAGAGAGAAGAATTTTTTCACCTTAATTATCTGTTCAAATGCTAGAGCAGACTGTAACATCATTGGCTTCTGACTCTCAATCATTTGTTGATCAATAGAATTATAAAAATGTGCCACCTGTAAAAATGAAGATTAAATTTACAAGAATAGAGAAAAATATTTATATGCCAATCAATGCCAAATATAATAGTAAAATGTTTGCAAAAATAAAGTACATATGCAATGCTAATGTGATCTTATGTTCTTCTAGTGACAAATTCTAATAGCAAAAACCACTGCTACTTACACATTTGAGGCGATTATACTTCACCTTAAGTGAAAAAGGTTCAGTCTCTGATTTATTATAAGTGGAACTGTTCCACTATTTTATGCAAATTTAGACATCTAGTGCCATTTCAGAGGCCTTCAAGTACCTATGACATCCACCAGGATATGACACAAGACCTAAAATAGATCTATTTACTTACAGATTGGCAGCTGGAGCAAGATGGATACCCTACAACTTGATTTAGTTGTCCACACATAGACATCTACTGCCTTTTGAGATGACTAGGGTTTCCACTTGGGCACCTGTCAGTGCTCCAGATGCTTGGGTCTTGTGTCATCTCTGCCTTAGCTGTGCAGGTATCTCAGATACCAAAGACACCCCATGTGAAACTGATTTGAGCCTGTGTACCTACTTAAGAATCTTTACCAATATATACATATTTATTCTTGCATCTTAGAGTAACAGAAGAAAACTTGACATGGTCTTTCAACTAAAATATAAGCCAAATACAAATTCATGTAGCATTAAGTCCAGTCAAAAAAATATCCTCCTCAAAAAAAAAACAGACACACATATCCACCAAAATACTTAATATATTTTCAGTCAAAAACTAGTAATGGTGAGGACAAGCTGCTTCATTTTATGACATTTTCCTTCAGTTATAATAATCAGAAACTGAGACTAAAACCAGGAGATCAATTAATTATACCTTATTTTTGTATATTTATACAGTAACTTCATATGGCTTTAATACTATAATTCATTTGTTTCAAAAGACGACCCATTCTGAAATGGTAAAGCATTTCTTTATTTTTATTCTCTTTTCAGGACTTACCTAATTTTTTCAAGAAACAAGTTACTTTTATACAGACAAACATAGCAAAAAGTTTAACCACAGAGTCAGAAAAAGTAATAGTCTAGAAAAGTTCTGTTACTGTTAAGCTGTTAAGTCAGAACAGGAATTTATTATGACATGTAACCCTGTACCTGTTTGAGGATGACCGCCTGCTTACAGAACTTCTGTGCAGTGTTTGCAGCTTGCTGTATTTTAGCTGGTATAGCAAAACCAAGTGCTGACAGCTGACGTACTTCTCTTAGGAGAGTCACCAAACAATCTGAATAAAGTATATTTAATGTTCCAGAAACGTGATCCAACTCCATTACAGGACTATTAGCCTGGATGCTAAACCAAAATCAAATTAAATATATTATTGAATATAATTTGATTTTGATCCTTTCTTAGGTGCATTTTACAATAATATAATAAACAACTCTAAAAACCTTGATGTCATTCTATTACTTATTTCTATGTTTATTAACATTTTAATTTACTCAGAAAACATTATAGTAACCTTTCTCTTAAATTCAAAGCCAGTGAAGGCAAGAAGAAATTAACAATGCCTATTGGTTTTGCTCAGAAAGTTTTTCTGGCTTGTTACAATAGTTAACATGTATCTCACAGCTAGACAATATTTCTCAAATACACTGGATCCATCATACACTCTCAAGCAGGCACTTTACAGGCCCCAGCCTTCAGCACTGTAAAAGGGAAGAAATTCTCTGAGGAAACCAATCCAAGAACCAGGACTTGGATCAGTGGAATGTTTTGGTATACACAATCAGATGTTAATAAGAACATCAGCCTATCTTTAGGTTTTACTCTAATTTTTTTTCTACTGTAGTAATGCTTCTACAACCATCCTTCTAGGCTTCTCTCATAAATACTTCAGCTTTACTAACTTTTTCACTTTTTTTCTCATCTTTTTCTAGTTCCCATATCCATTGCATTTCCCTTTGCATTGAGCTTCTTATTTTCTTTTAATTAATCTCAAAATAACAAAATTTTATGGTACTAATAAATTAGATGTTATATATTGTAGTGCTAAATCTGCTAATTTGTTATATTTCAATGTTTTTCATAAATTAAGTCTACACATAAGTATCAACTACTGTATCTTCTGAAACTGTGCACAATCTCTTTTTTTCAAAGAAAGTTTGCAACATTCAGATGCAGAAAGAAGCTATGTGACCAATCAATTAAAAAAAAAAAAGTTAAAATATATTTTAATATGCCATAAAGTAATTTCATTATTTTAGGGAACAGAGTTCATGAGGTTTAAATTTATTTTCTTACCCTTCTTTCATCTGCTTTATTTAGATTACAGAATTTCCTGTGAATAGCAATTCATTTGTTACTCTACATATGTCATCTGTAGATCACAGCTATACTGTAATCTCATCTGGTTTCTAGACATTATCACTATATGGATTACAATGGGTAACAAGTAGTAGCAAGGAAGCCAAATGTCTTTCATTCCAGATGTTAATAGAAGTCGCAAGATCAGTTAACAACGCTGTCCTGTATACTCCACCTTACCAACCAAGCCTGGTAGGATGATGAAATGACAATAAACTCTTCCATTTTGTTTCTCCACTCATTTGCAATTCTGTAAATTTTTTATGTTCTTTGTCAAGTTCTATTGAATTACACCACACTACAGATTTCAGCATAAAGATTATGTAAACAAGAATGTATTTACCAAAGTCCTGACTTGGGATTTGATAATTCTGACTGGATGTTCTTAGACCAATCATCAAATTGTTCTTGTTCATAGACTTTCAACTGTTCCAGAAAAGAATCTGCACTTTGATGAAAAGTTTGAAATCCAGGTAAGTCAGACAGAAGAGCCTCTGCCAGTTTGATAGCATCATCCACCTTAAACACAATTGCAAAGAAAAGAAGCTTAACTTCACAGTATTCAATGAGAAAAGGAAAATCAACACAATAAAATTAGTATTACAAAACAACCAAGTAGTATTAAAAAATAAGATGTTCAAATTCCCATTACAGTAAATTGGGTCTGAATAAGTTGTCCACCACAGGTGTCTACCACTATTAAGATACCCTAGAGTATCCCACCTGATCTTCAGTTAATTCTTCACAAAGGTACAGACCTCCCATGCGCTTTTTGTTGTACCCATAAGGTCCATGACAATACTCAAAGGTATTTCAAATGGGATTTCTCATCTGTGTGTGGACAAATTAATCTAAACCCTAGTCAACAGAATTAGTGGAGATTTGAGAGCAATTAAAAAATCTAGCACAGCCTAAAGCAGACACATAACTGACACACATCAGTGAAATGCTCTCTTGGTCTTTAGCAGATGAGCAGAATAAATAATTGTGAAATCTGAGCTGCTGCTGTTCTCTCTGTAGGACGCCTAACAAAGTAACACCTCTAAGATCTTTATTACATTCAGCTGAAATGGGCCCTTGAGATAGCTGCAAACCACAGGTGAATGTCAAAAAACTGGGCTAATGGTTATTCTGGGATTAGTAACTTCTATTCTCATTCAAATATATAGTTATTGTAAATGGCACTTATATTCACTAAAATTTATTATTTTTTAAAAAAAGCACTACCCAGATATCCCTTTGATTTCAAGGGTACACTACCCAGGTTAGTAATAACAAGTCAGAATTAAGATGTCAGAATCTGGCTATTTGTAAATCTTAAATACAATTTTAAAATGCAAACTGAAGGATAAAATTTAACAAAAACACCTCCTCTCAGAATGTTGGTCTTTTCTTTGCCCAAAAACATTAAGTCATAAAAGCACGCAGTCCAGTGTATCACAAAATGACTGTCTTCTGCATCAGTTAACAAAATTCAATTTAGCAAGCAGCACCACTGATAAGGAACCTTGATTATATAACTCCTGGGCAGTCCACAGTTTTTCTGTGGGGAATTCCCCAGAAATCTCAAATACCATGTTTTACCTTCTGTGATGATATTGTGTCTAAACAGTAACGGAATCAGTTACCTTCAGCTCCAGCTGCTGTACCCATACGATATTATTGACAACTTCAGAAAGGTTTTTGCCTGACAGTGGTCCAGAAACATCACCAGGAACACCATGGTATCGAGTTTCAAAGTCTATCTGATAGTCTAACACAAACAAAAGATTCCCATTAAGCCAGAAACTAAATAGAACAAGCCTGAAATTATTACTGTAGTTATAAAAACATACTAGGGATACTGACATAATTCTAAAAGTAAAGAAAGAAATCTAGTATTTGCAAAAAAACCTAATGCAATTAAACACTTTTAAATACATTTTTACCTTTGACATAATCTTGAAGTCTTGCTAGCAATGTTTCCCTTTCAAAAAGCAATTCTTTGCTTATATTTGAATGCTTTATCAGTTCCTTATATTTCTGAAATGTTTGAAGAAGCTGGAATACAAAGTTTAAAAAAGTTATCTCTTCCTCCTGATAAAAAAATTAAACATATCCTGACACTACCCATTAGTGCTGTTCATAAGTACTGTCTTTGGCCCCAAGTGCTTTTATTCCTTTGCTCTAAACTGACTACTTAAGAATTCAAAAACTTTACCTTTAGGAAAGTTTTCAGCCTACAGATATACCCATACCTGCTGAGGACTGTCCTGAATTTCTGAAATAAGTTTCTTCAATTTGCTTGCTATTTTTTGTTCTGCTGGTGCAATAATTTTTTCATACTGAGAGACTGCTGCTTTCCATAATGGCTAGAGATAATAAATTCATATGTTAGCTTAAGACTATTCATATACATCATAAAAAGTCACAGAAAGAATGTGAATAAATTAAAAATAAACATTATACCTCTGTGTAAGGATTATAATGTACGGGATTTAGGCCAGCAAAGGGTTCGAACACTTGGGCGAGATATAAAGAGTTTTGTTCTCCAGCGGGCAAAAATAACCTAAGTTTTTCATACAGTGTTCTAACAGTTAGCACCTATAACAGAAAAAAATATTTGATATATCCAACAAATTTTCACATTAAAATTATGTTTAGAAGCAAAAAGCACAAGCAGCACATCCCATCCCTCTCCTTTTTACAAGAAACTTTTGAAAGGCCCAGGCAAACACAGACTATGGAATGCTATCTGACTCTGAAAAGGCTATGAAAGTGCTTTAAATCCTTTTTCTAACTTAAAGCAACGTTGTTTAATTCTGTGTCTAATTAAATACATGTGTATAATTCAAATCTCTACCTCATCAAGGCGCTTGCCAAGTTTGGCTAACAATTCAGGGAAATATTTCTCATTTTTCCATGGATGTAGAGTATAACGCTGCCACAGTTGTCCAGTTAGGTACTCACAAGCTGAGACCCACTGCTCACAGATCAAGATGCCAGCCTTTAGATTTTCTTTAACACTGTAGAAAGTATCCTCCCACAAATTCAAAGCTGCTAATTTTCTCTGAACATATCTACCTAGCGAGCCACCTAGAACACAAAAAAGTACACAAAAGCAGTAAGTTATGTTTGTTTAAAATAATTCCTTTAAATGCTACACCACATTCCAATCACGTTTTTAAAAACTAGTGTAATGTCTTGATTTCAAACCACACAAATGTATCAATAACTGATTATTTCGTTTCAGATTCAATAAGTCTCTTAAATATCTCCAAGTTAAACATAAACAGCTGATGGATTTAGATTCTGGAATCCACACACAAGCTTCATGCACACACACGTCTGGCAGCACCAGACATACTTATTGTCTTATCACTGCTCCAGAATGTGGGACTGCTGTCAAGAGAATGAGACTGCTCTCACCCCCACACAGACTGAACTGACCTTCAAATGGGGGTTAATGGAAATAAATTTTCTCCTTTGAGAGAAAGACAAGGAGCTAAACAGAACCAAGACAAATCCAGTCCACAGGCTGAAAGGTATCCAACTCCATGTTGCTACTATCTATCATCCAAGCATGTGTGAAGGCATCTACCAGAACTGGCTAAATTATTGTATACTATGAGGCAAATAATATTCATGGATCATAACTACAAGAAGAAAGCACCTTAATGCTGTAGGCTGTCACTGGTGCCTTTAGGATGAAGAAGGTCTGCTCAAGGATGCATTTTACTTTTTCTCAACTGTTAATTCAAACCAGACCGCATAAAGATTTACCTATTACATCCAAGAGGTTATGCATGCGTGGCTGTGGATAAGGATCATGTTCTGTTTGTCTCCACACAGTATCAACAGTATCCTTGGTAGCCTCCACCAAATCCACGACTTCAAATAATGAGAGACTATCCAAGTTGTAATAATCCTAGGAAAAAAAAAAATCTTTATTGTGATTACTTTGCAACTAGTATTGTAGAAACATCCGTACTTTTCCGACGTTGGTAATTGCTATAGTTTCCTGGGTTTCATTGCTTAACAAAATATGGCATAAACCTCTCAAAACAAGCATTTGTGTAAGTTTATTCATGTTAAGAATGCATTGACTGAAGCACTATTTAAGCAAGCATTTTAAAAGTGTCAAAAATTTTGCATGATAACATTCATTATTATAACCTGCATTTTCAGTTCTCCTTTTTATAATTTAATGAGTCAATTTCTAGTTCACAAGCTGTAGCATCCTGTGCTATTTCTACAGCAGCTCTTAGTATCAGTCAAATCTGCTCCCAATTAAATACTGGTGCTTCCCTGTACCATTGTCACTAGAAATTACATGAAAGTCATTTAAAGTCAAATTTTGCCTAAGAAAAAATAACTAAATGGTAATATATTCATGTATTTGAAAGAAGTGTGCATAAACTGACATATATTTCATAAGTAAAATGTCTTTTACTAAGTCTACAAATATATCACTTATCAGACAAAAGAAAACATACTTTTGCAATGTCCTCAAATAGGTCTTTAAAATGAGAAGCTCTCTCTTTAGTACACCATTTATTTCCATGATGAGCACATTCTATCCAGAACTGAAATTCATCTGTTGGTGTAAGTATAGCTGCAAATGATAATGGAAAATGTTTAAACGTGAAATACACGAAAGGTCACAGAATATTTTCAGTCAAAACACACTTTGTAAATCAAATTTTTACTACATGGTTATGTAATTATCCTTCAATTTCTGACTCTGACTAGATGTAGAATCAAGCTCATACCAGAAGACCAAAGCTGATCATCACTAATTCCAATCTACTCACCACAACCTGTTATTCCACACTCTGGAGTCACTAGGATAACGAAGACTGAAAACTCAACCTGTAAATAAATTATTTACACCTAATTTAAAATTAACTATAAAAGATGTAACTGCAAAACAAACCTCGCACATCATCTTCACTGAATTTTGTTCCTGTGTAGTTAGGATCTGATCTTCTGAGAACTGTACTCAAGCCAGCTTCAAGCTCACTTAAAAGTTTCTGGAGTTTGGGATCAAATGTTTTACTCCATCTCTCATCCTGCAATGAAAATTTCAAAAACTGTGACTCACATGATAAAACAATTACTATTTTCTTCCTGTTAATCTTAAAAATTAAAAAAAAAAAAAAAAAAAAATCTGATTAATAGAAGTAACCAACCACACAGACAATGTAATAATTTCTTTTTCTTAAAGTTAAGGAAAAGTACCTCATTCTTTTCACTTAACAATTCAGAATAATACTGTAAAAAAATTTTTAGCACAAAATCAGAAGTCAGGTGTTGGATTTAAAAAGGCACTCTGAAAATGTGTTCAAAATTCCTTGTTAATGAATTCTCTTAAGTTAAATTTGGAATCTATTTCTGTAGTAGAATCTGGAAATTGCTAGAACCAAATATTAAAAGTTATTGTGTTGTTCTAAAATTATTTTATTAATATTATGACATAAAATTAAAAATATTTAAATGCTGAAACTTTGCTTGTTCAGCTTATGAAATATAGCCATGGTCGTCATTTTTGACAAAAAATCCACAAAGGAAATATATTATTTAATGTACAAGAAGGAAAAGCCTCAGAACCTTTTAGCTGTACAAATTAACCTAGACTGTAGCCCACCTATCTGCCATATATTAAAGAATTATCGTTTGCATGATACAGAGCTATGCATTTTATATATAAGAATATCTAAACCAAGAAAAAGACACAAGACCAGAATTACTGGTGGAAAGGAGGTAAGGAGCTGCTGTTTCCATTAACCACCACTGCCCAGTATATTCCACATTTCTAGTCAGGCTTATATGTTATGACCAGAGTGCTCCTCTCATCCTTACTGGTAGGAAGTGAAGTATCTTCTTTAACTTAGAAAATAGAACTATCATCCATTATTTAATTTCTTAAAATATTTTTAGAACATAAAATATTCATCTCAGAATAGTTAACATCCTGTGGAATTTCAATGTTTCACTATAAATCCAGAGAACACTCAAATTGGTATATTGCTCACTTTCAGTAACACAGGTGCAAAAACTTGTCGTACAGCTTGATAAAGGGTGTTAATTGGTGAATCTAGCATAGACGACACAAGAATATTACTATGAAGATTATCTTCTGTAATTACATCAGGTCGCAGCTTAAAGAACACCAACACATTGTTCTTTGAATCAGTAGCTTCAATCTGTAATAAGAAGACAGGATTTGTTTAGAAAAATGTCACTGACTGCATATTATACTAAATTACAAACACCATTTACACAAATCATTACATCAAGAATAAAATATAAATTACTCCCAATGGGCCCGATAACATTCTGGTAGTATCTGATTTGCACAGGAAATGAAAACTTTTATTAGATTAGTTCCTAAGTTCATAGGAATCTGAATTCCAACATGAAATACATAATGCCTTTATAATTATAAAATACCTGTAAATACCATAGTTATGCTTAATTATTTCTGTAAATACCATACATACATACTTAATTACTTATGCTATTTTGATTTTGAAAACTCTACTTACCACTTTCAGGGAACAAACCAGAAACTCCATCTCGTGCCTAGAGAAAACTAAGCACGAAGTCTATCTTTTTTATTGCATTTGTACAATACATAACTTTAGGATTTTTTTTTTAAATATTCAGTATTTTTCACCTGAGACTGTAAATACATAAGTATTGCAATTCATAGACTTCCCAAGGCACGCTTCTTCACCAGTAAAATCATAAGTTGTAACAGGACTCTTGTTCCCTTGACAGTTCAACTTACAAGTAAAGTTCCAAAAATTGCCATAAAATAAATTATTGAAACTACTTCACAGAGTCACAGAATCATAAGGGTTGGAAGGGACCTCAGGAGATCATCTAGTCCAACCCCCCTGCCAGAGCAGGTTCCCTACACCAGGTTACACAGGAAAGTGTCCAGGTGGGTTTTGAACATCTCCAGAGATGAAGACTCCACAGCCTCTCTGGGCAGCCTGTCCCAGTGCTCTGTCACCCTCACACTAAAGAAGTTTTTCCTTAAGTTTGTCTGGAACTTCTGGTGTTCCAGTTTTTGCCCATTTGTGGCCAAGAAGAACTCATAAAACAGGAGAACATTATTAAACATTTGATAAAACAATAGCAAAAAGACATGCTAGCTGAACTCCCAAATTCTGTGCAATTCTAAACATCTGTGAACTTTTTTTTCTGTTACAAGAAAGAGAGGGCTAGTAAGAACAGCTTCCAATTTTACTGGACAGTAACAGTTTTACTTTCTTATCAAGTCTTTAGCCCAACACATACAGACATCATTTCAGAGACAACAGGCATACGTTACAGCCTGGAGATGTATCTGATCTTCCACAGCTGCTGACAGTGGCTTTGCATATCAGACAGTGCTCAGCAGTACACCCCAAACACTGGTACACACACGTGTTAATTCCTCATGAAGCATGTTAATTCCTGCAAACAGCATGCACTAGACTTCACAGAGGACTACACCAAGAGGTATGCAAGTTACCAGTCCACACAGCAGTTCACATGTTAATGACACATGACATTAGTCTTCAGTGCGGGGAAAAATCTGTCAGTGACATAAGAGACACCACATCCCTGCTCTCACAACAGAATGATGGGATGGATACATGTCAAGACCGTGCTTTGCCTGTACACTCTACGTGGCAGGAACCACACTGTGTCCTGATTACATGGTGATATTCACTGCACATCACACCCCACAGTATCACCCAGATGAGTCACTTGCTGAACACAGGACATTTCACACAGTGAACCTCAGATTTGCTCATAACTGGACACATCAATCTGCAAAAATCACAGAATCACACAGTTGCCTAGATTGGAGAAAACCAGTCAAGTCCAATCATTAGCATAACACTGACAAGTCCCCAACTAAACCATGTCCCTGAGCACTATGTCTACATGACACAAATTACTCTTAAATACCTCTGGGGATGGGGACTTCGACACTGCCCTGGATAACCCCTTCCAATGCCTGAGAACCCTTTCAGTAAATAAGTTCTTCCTAATATCCAATCTAAACTTCCCTTGGCACAACTTGAGGCCACTTCCTCTTGTCCTATCACTTGTTACTTGGCTGAAAAGACCAACCCCCTACACTCCCCTTTCAGGTAGTTGTAGAGAGCAAAAAGGTCTCCCCTCAGCCTCCTTTTCTCCAGGCTAAACAAGCCCAGTTCCCTCAGCTGCTCCTCATAAGACATGTGCTCCAGACCCTTCACCAGCTTCATTGCCCTCCCCTGGACACGCTCCAGTGCCTCAACGTCCTTCCTGTAGTGAGGGGCCCAAAACTGAACATGGTACTTGAGGTGCAGACTCACCAGTACCTCACCAGGTAAGATCACTTCCCTGGTCCTGCTGGCCACACTATTCCTGATACAAGCCAGGATGCTACTGGCCTTCTTGGCCACCTGTGCACACTCCTGGCTCACGTTCAGCTGACTGTCAATCAACACCCCCAGGCCTCTCTCTGCCAGGCAGCTCTCCAGCCACTCCTCCCCAAGCCTGTAGTGCTGCCAGGGGTTGTTGTGGCCAAAGTGCAGGTCCCAGCATTGGGCCTTATTGAAACTCATGTAGTTGGTCCTGGCCCATCAATCTAGTCTGTCTAGATCCCTCTGTAGAGCCTTCCTACCCTCAGGCAGATCAACACTTCCATCCAGCTTGGTGTCATTTGCAAACTTGCTGAGGGTGCACTCGTTCCCCTCGTCCAGATCATTGATAAAGATGTTAAACAGATGTTAAATGCACGGTTTGGACAAACACTCACCTTGGGACTTGTCAAATATCAGCCAATGTGCCACGTATTGGGCCATGTTTCCTGCATGGACATCGGCAGTGCAATCCTTCCAGTCACCTGCATGCATCCCTGCCCAGGAACAACCTGTACATCAGCCTCCACCTGGCATTTGCAGCGAGATAACAGCCTGCCATTCTCCAGGCTGCATTACCTTCAGGCAGCGACAGCGTACCACACACTAAAACTACGCAGCAAACAAACTACCAAACAAACTAGCATGGGCACAATCCACTAACAAACAGATCACAGCTGAGTACACGGTCTTCAGACTCTTCAGACAGTAACTTATGCAGCAGACACCGAGACCAACATGGATGTTTGCAGCAGGAAGGTGTCTCCTAAATCAGACCCCAGTCTTTCATAGAATCACAGCATGGTTTGGGTTGGAAGGGACCTTAAAGATCATCCAGTCCCAACCCTCTGCCATCAGCAGGGACACCTTCCACTAGACCAGGTTGCTCAAAGCCTCATCCAACCTGGCCTTAAACACTTCCAGGGAGGGGGCAGCCACAACTTCCTTGGGCAACCTGTTCCAGTGTCTGACCACCCTCACAGGAAAGAATTTCTTCCTAATATCTCATCTAAACCTCCCCTCTTCCCGTTTAAAGCCATTGCCCCTTGTTCTGTCATTAACTGCCCTTGTAAAAAGTCCCTCCTCAGGCTTCCTGTAGCCCCTTCAGGTAGCGAAAGGTCTGCAATAAGGTCACCCCGGACACACTCTTCTCCAGGCTGAACAGCCCCAACTCTCTCAGCCTGTCCTCATAGGAGAGGTGCTCCAGCCCTCGGATCATCCTCTAAACCCGGGCTGGACCCCAGGCTCCGCATCCCGGCTCGCACACCGGGATGGGGTGGACACGCCGGGTCCAGAGGTGCCTGCACGGCTCGGCTGGACGCTCCCGTACCTTGTTGGAGGCGGTGAGCTGGGTGCCCGAGCGCTGCACAACCAGGAGGAACTCATTGCCGTCGTCCAGGAAGCGGGTCAGCTCGGGACGGGCATGGAGCCCCGCGGCCGGGGCAGCGGGACCCGCGGCCGGATCGAGCCCGAAGTAGTTCGCAGCCGTGGCTGAAATGAAGCGCTTCCTCCTGTCTCCCTCCCCGGCC